GTAAGTAAACAAAAAACAAACTTTATAAGACTCTTTTTGACACTAGCTTCTGTAGGAGTCTGTAAAAGGCAGACCCCACACCGGCGTAACCTGGAGGTTGGGGGTAGGGGGAGAGGGGTTCCGTTTGGTGATTTTAAGAAGCCATCTTTCTAATTCTTAAAAAAAACAATCACCCTCCTCCTTTTGTACAAATGTCTCTCTTTTATTTTCTCTCTCACCTTGGCAAGTCTTGTCTGGAGAGGAGCTGCCATTGGCTTTGTCCAGGTGCTACGGGCTGTGTTCAGAGGACGGCTTTCGCTTCCAAGTTGGAATTCGAAGGCCTCTCTGGGAAAGGAGGTCTTGTTGCAGTGGCTGGCTCAGATAACGGGTTTCCGGAGGCATTCGTTTAAGCTTCTTGGTGGCAGCCCTAGGCTTAACGTCAGGTGTCATAGCAGTCAAACCGAGATGCATTTCTGCAGTTCTGACCCTAAGCCCCCTGCACACTGAACCCAGTACTAAGCAAGAGAACCCGCTTGACTGAATGGGTACAGTGCTGCTCTGTCATTGACTGGAGGTACGCTGATCTGAAATAGTGGAATAATACACCAAAAATCTCGTTACAACAAAAGCTCAGTGCTGTATGTGGTACCACCGTAGTCCCTTTTCAGTAAAGAACTGAAGAGTTTGATTAATCCAGGTGCCCCATGTACAGTATATCATTGTGAAACTGATTACTGCTATAAAACTGAATTTAATTTGTCCACAGTGTGTATGTTTATATATATATACATATGTGTATATATATATATGTGTGTGATTGGCATATATTTGCGTTTGTATGCATTTGCGTTACTGTACTGTTTCTCAGATAAAAAAGACCATCCATTGCTAGAGTGTTTTTAGTATTCTTTTATAAAGGCGGCGATTTGCTCCAAATGTTTTAACTTCACTGCATGGGAGGAGCTGACTGTAAAGGATAGGAAGAAGCACGACGGACCTCGTGAGATCTCTAAGCATTGCTTAAAAATCGGCGCGTCTCCAATCGCGACGTGCGTCGCGTGCGGAAAACTGTGACGGAAGCGTTTGACTGACGCTGAGGAGGCAATGGGAGAACCGGACTTTTTCTGAACCGGGATGTGGGATCCAGTCGTGTGCCGTTGGCTGTTGCATTGCCTTTTGGCACCGTTGAAGCGTCTTTCTCTTACTGCAGTGCTAGGTGGTCGCGACAGCGGTACCACCTGTTGAAAAACTGTTCTTATGTGCCAAAAGAGAAGGGAGTCGCACGCCGCTTGTGCCATTGTGCTGCAGCGTGGAGCTGAGAAAACTGCCGGTGTGTCGCGGGGGTTGTCTTTATCCCCAGAGCGTGCGGCTGACTGGAGAAGCTCTCCTGCTGCCCACCATTTAACCTGTGGTGGGATGGATGCCTTTGTTAGGGACTGATCTTGATTTTCCTTAATGCATGTTCTTCTACCCAATTCAGCCAGGTGCTAGGATTGAAGAGCCTAAACCTCTAGTAATACTTTAACATTTTTCAGTTGTTAGATTCTTCTGATCTCCCTGCTAGTTGACAGGTTGGAAAACCAGGTGCAATTCCTTGCAGTCTCACTCTGTAGCCCCTCTTGATTTTTTATTTTTTTTACTCTAGGCCATGCTCGGAATAAAATGATCCAGTAGTTGAGGAGATGAACTTCCTGTTAAGATTGTGACACTGCATTTGGGGTTTCTTATTTGGCAGCCTGCCTGATCATTCCTGCTCTTCTGGAGTTCATAGTCAATAAAGTAAGCTTTTCATTTTTCAGCAAAGATTGATTCAGAGATGTATCTGGACATGTTGACATCCAGATTTCCGTGTAAAAATATTAAATGCTTTTTTGGTTATTCAAGTATAAGAGAATGGGAACCAAATAAGTATTAGGGCTGCGTATTGTTTTATGTGGATAGGATATATCCTAATAAGAGACAGAAATAATTATCCCCGTATTGACCCTCAAGGTTGGTCAGTACTTGGCTTGGAGGTCTCTCTGGTACTTCTAACACAGCCTCACGTCCAGCTTGAGTGTTTGGTAGAATGGTTACTGACCTGCCTCTGAAGATGAGCTCTGTCCACTCCTGAAAGGACAGCGAGGTGCAGTCTACCAGACTATGACGATAAACTAGGCCCCGTCTACTCTGTGGACGTTAAAGACCCCATGACACAAAACAGGGTTCTGTGTCCTGGTTAAATTATCAGAGACTGAATTTCAGTATAAAATTATATTAAATATACAAGAATAAAGTCTTCAGCTACCCCAGTCCAAAGTTATTGGGCTATAGGCCCGGGATGAACTGAGCTGTCAATGGGTTGTAGGTGTGGGTTTTCTGGGAGTGGTATTAACACGTCTGTCTATATAGGGTGGGAAGTGGGTCACTTTTCCAGGACTGTGCATTGAAGCGGGAGTCTCCAACATTGGTCTTGAAAAGCCTCAGTTCTGCCACTCTGAAAGGTCACCTGTTTCTAAAGATGGGTGACACCTGTAAGCTACTCATGAATCAAGCAAGTCGTCTGTTCAATTAAGGAAACTCTGCTCTTCGAGGGTTGGAGAATGCTTTTGGGATTTCGGTTCCAAATAAGCTGTAAATGCACAAATTTAACAATACCCTTGTTAAATTGGTCGCAATTGCAATGTTTTGTATCTTTAGAGATTGATTTAATGGTGACCTACAAGCCCTGTATGATTGAAGCACAACAGAACCGGGGTTGCAGACCTCTGCTTTAAAATGCTTTTGATATAAAACGCCTGAATTACACCCGATATCTTTTTGTCCTCCCAGAGAACTTCTGAATGGCTGGGTTTTAGAATTTTCCTGTGAAAGATTCTCTTAAACCCGTGTTTTTTTTTCCCCCACTGTGCATTTCCTGTTTATAGTTCTTGTCATAGTGTTCTGTTCCTTAAGGAAAGAATATACGTGCATTGTTTTAGATTTGTATGCTGCCAAAACAACTTTTAACATAAGAGTTAATAAAGAAATATTCTAAAAACCTACACCAAGGTCATCTTGGCAGTGGGGTGTAGCTCCCATCTTTATATTGTTGATAACTTTTCCGAATGCCTGCCAGTTTAACTGATTGCACAGAAATGTACTTGTGTTAATAGGAAAAAATGTTGCAACTGTATCTGAGTTAATGATGGAAACAATGTTTTTTTTTTAATGAGTGAAGATGTCTGGAAGCTGATTTTATTTATGTTATTGCTGATATTCCGCCGTCCCCACACACTGTCTCGGGAGACCCAGAGAAAGGCAGGACAGTGTCCTTTTGTTTTTGAGGAAAGTGGACCTTGGACCTGGTCCTATAGTATGTTTTCTTTCAAGGTGTCTGGAAGACCAGCACTTTAAACAGCATTTTATTCACGGTCTGCTTAACCATCAGACACGATCTGAGGAAGGTTTGGACTTATCTGTGGTCAGGCAGCTGAGGGCCAGAAGTAGTAGCAAGGACCAGACCCCAGGGCACTGAAAGAGGTGCTGTACAATTTACAGAAAAACTGTACAACATCATTGTATGATGTGGTTTTAGCTTAAAAAGTGATGCTTGCATGACACTTAAAGAATTGCAAGAATACATTAGCAATGCAATTGTACCTACCAGCCATCCATGTCCCTGTTTCCTCTTCCTTTACCTGATTAACAGTATGGCTGTACTTCAGGTGAGGCTCACAAATCTTACTCTTCATACTTATTCCGTTTGATCACTTAGAGTAATGTACCACCTGCTTTTGCTGTTTCCACTCACACCCTCAGAATGGGCTTGGGGGCTGTCATGGCACAGTGTATTGCTTCCAATTTACCTTTGGAAACTAGAAACAGCCCAGCTCTGTTTTAAGGCTGTGTTGGTCAGCGGTGCTTTTTGGGCAGGACAGGAGTTTGCTCCTGCTTCAGCAACACAAGCACCAGAGAGTCCCTGGGAAAATGAAGAACAAGCAAGGTGGGTTGTAGTTTTGGCGCTGTGAAGGGGGCATGGCTACACTGGGTCAAAGGCTCATCTTTAAGGTTCCCAGTAGCTCGGTGTTGGTGTGGATAGCAAGTCTCTTACCTGTTCTGGACTTTGCTTATTTGGAAGATGGTAGTATGGATATGAAATTCACTTGCTTTTTTCCTTCTGCGATTCATTTGCTGCTGCTACAGCTGCTGAGGACCAGTGCAGTGCAGTAAGGAGACCAACAGTAGCCGTGCCTTTCAAACATCTGGCGACAGCAGCCGTTTAAAACGGGTTGTCAGAAGTGCTTCACAACTGGGTGCGATTTGTGTCACTGGTGCCGATGGCTGTAGCACATCGTTGTTGGAGAAACCTCATATGCACAGTTGATTCCCCGCATTTTTGTAATATTCTGCAAGAAACCCTGTAACCCAAACAAAATCTTTCTTTGCAATAAAGCCTGGAACACAATACCTGGCAAATATCATTGTACTGATCCGGCATGTCACCCAAAAGGTCTCGCTCACACGCAACAGTTTTATTGCTCTGAAAAGCAGTGCAGTCCTTCGGTACTCCTGGCCCTCAGTCTCCTTGACCAGAACATGAGATTATAGAGGAGTCATTGTGACAGTGTCTTGGTGTAGGCTTATTGATCTCTGGCCACACAATGTTGGAAATGTCAAACGCCAGTCCTTCATGCAGCATCAACGAAACATGCAATGTATTCAACACACTCACTGACTGCATAACGCTGCATTTCAACAACATTGTTGATAGTTTTGCTTTTGGTTTTCCAACATTTTAGAAAATGTGAAAGCTACTTGTTCGTGTTTGTGGTTCTTGCTGTAGCTTCATGCAAACATGCCTTAGGCCAGTGTTTCTCAGTTCTGACCCTGGAGTACTTCGTGTCTGCTGGTTTCATTGGCTTCAGCCCAGTTCTTAATCACAGGCTAAAATAAGGTGTTCGGTTTGAGGTCTTATTTTTTTTTATTCGTTTTCGACTCTTCCAAAGCTCAGGGCTCGAATGCTGAAAGCTTGTGCTTGAGCTTCAGGGCTGCCCCTCTTCAGGTGTCTGAGCTGAAGTACAAACAGTTGGACTTCAGTAAAAGGAAGAACACTGTCTGATGCAGAGTTGTAGAGAGACGGCACAGCAGTGACACGAGTCATTCCCACCTGTATCTGTTCAACGATTGACCACCTGATCATCTGTCAAGAGCCCTTTAGTGAGGAATAAGGGAGCAACTTTTTAATTGGCAAGTTGAAGAAAGGCTGCTTACATTTCTCTGCTAGAGATGAAATGGTGCACTTTAACTAGGAAGTGTTTGAAACCCAAGGACTGAGGGCTGAAAAAAATCTTAACCCTGAAAGCAGATCAGTTGAGGGGCAGAAATTTGGACTGGTGATTAAGGGCCCAGAGAATAAAAAGCAGCAGACACATGGGACCCTGGGAACCAGGACTGAGAGCCACTATCGTCTACCTGACCCCAAGCTGACTGTTACAATCCAATCAAAACACAGCTGCAGTTCCGCTGGTTTATGAACCCTTACAGGTTGCAAAATGGTTTGCGAAAACTATTGAAGGTACTGACATGATGTAAAAGGTTATTAGTCCGGGACAAACTTGTATCTTGTGTTATGCATATAAAATGCCAAAAGTTAGTTTTTTTAAGTCATAATTTTACTTCTGGGTAAAGTCCTTGTGAGCTTTGAAGATGGCAGTTGCGAATGAAAGGAATCAATCATCTAATAAGCTTTTTTTAAAAATAAATTGTACTGTAAAAGCACAATGTTACCACTATATATTATAAAAAGATAATTTGGTTTGTTGTTTGTTACATTTTGTCTAATGCCATGTTTCCCATCATTCTGAAAATGTCTTCAGACTTAAAACAATTTTATCAATTTTCAATTGTAATAAAAGGTCAGAATTATATTTTGTAAAACAGGGGAGGAAAAAGGTCTATGAGTTCCGAGGAGCCTTCTTTAAAAAGAGGCAACTTCAGCCATGGAAGTTGGGTGGATTTGTTTTCTCCAGAATGCTGAGAACAGCTGGTTACAGGAGACTGGAAATGTTGCACTACCTTGTCGTCTGTTTGTTTTTTAAAGAAAGTGTTTCAAGATTTGTTTTCCCTGGGGAACTCACAATAAATTGTTGCTGTTGAAAACCAAGGAGTAATGTTCAGTCATTTCTGTGGGCAGCCTTAAATTACAAAAAAGTTTAAAAATTTACATAATTTGCATTGAACGTACCCCACCCCCCCCCGAGATTGAAGGACTCTTACTTAATTGTGTGAACTTCTCTTTATTTGGGGTTTCTTGATTGTATTCTGAAGGCCGTGTTTGGTAGGTTCTGCTCTAAGGATGCAGTTTTCTGCAGGAGTGGAAATAGGCTTATGGACAGAGTCGCCGGCCCCCAGCAGTGAGGGGTGACCTCTAGTGGAGCTTTCTTGGGATTCAAAGCAGAGTTTTGACACAGGAAACACAAACTAAGGGATCTGACCAAAAGACCTGAGTAGACCAAAGGCACCTGAGCTGAGCATGCCAACTCCGCTGACTGAGAGGTAAGTGTGAACTGCTGATCAGACACAGGACAGCCCCTTTCACCAGTGAGCTGTTCCCTTAAAGGAGTTTCATATCGTCATGTTTTGTCTGTTAAAACAAATACCAATGTTTATAGACTATGTAAAGGAAAAGCAAATGTTCACTGATCACATGATTTAAATAACACGAAAATTTCAACTTGAACAAATCTTCATCCGCGACTTCAGCTTTGATCTAGCTTTTTTTTTTTTAAGAGGTTTGTTTTCTTGAACACGTCGGTAACGGCCTCCGTGAGTTCAGAGGCATAAGTCCAAAGGCCTTCGTCCCGAATCAGGTCCTCCTCTTTCAAGTTGTCCTGCTTCGGCCGCCTGACGTGGTACAGTCTCCCCAGCTGGTCGGACACCTCCACTGTGGTGCCGGTCTGTTCTGTAACGTGGTGGACCGAAAGCTGAAACACTTTTCGGGGGTTGACCATCAGCTTTCCCGTGGTAAAGTGTGGTTTGGGAATCGGTTCCCGGTAGATGTGCTGGAGGAAGTTAACTCCCGGGATTCCCTGCCACTCCGGGATCTTAAACTTACCGCTCTTCTCGAAGACGTTGTTGCGGAAAACGTTGTTCTCGAAGTAGAAGCTTGACGTGTTGCCATACTGGGCCTCCAGGTCGCTCACTAAGTCCCTCCAGTTCTTGGCCTTCAAGGGCAGAATGATCTCGTCGATGTCATTCAAGAGGAGGTACCGCGTTTGGTACATGTACCTGTAGACGCAGTCATTCAAGGCTGGGATTTGACCGTAATAGTGCAGATCTCCTGGAGAAAGGGAAGGAGTCCAGCTGGAAGACACTTTGATATAGGAGTCTATGGGCCATGGTATGACCTCTACAAAACCCACTCCGGTGTAGTAATCCAGCACCGTTTCCATGGCCGGGCTGCACTGACTCTTGTAGATGGCCACCTTCTGAGCTCCCAGGATCCGGTACATCTCCATGGCCTGCACGAACTGCAGGACGTTGTCGAAATTCCCAAACATGGTCGAAATGCAGACGGCGAACTCGGCAGGGAAGCCTGCGTCTCGGGCCTGGCGGTTCCGGACGGGCAGGAAGGACATGTTCTGGGGCTGGCCTTGGTCGGTGTAGACTGCCACGTGCGTCGGGTCGCAGCCGTCGGGGACAGCGCAAAGCAGGTCGGCTGTACCGTAGGGGAAGTCGAAGTGGCTGCCGTGGAGGTTGGTGGTGGCTCGGGTAGACGCGAGGTGGTCCATGCAGCTGAACAAGCAGTAGTGCACCGCGTTCTCTGTCCGATGCACAATGGAAATAATGCGGACCTGTCTTTGTCCCTTCCTGTGCTCAAAGTAAGGACTAACCACGTAGGTCTTTGCGCCGCCCACATGATGAAAGGTGGCTGCTTCTTCCACGGGAGTACAGATTTTTCCAGGTCCGCTGTGAGGAGAGCATTCCCTTTGCCTGGTTTGGTTATTTCTCTTTTCACACGCGGTGTGATGGTTGATCTCTTCACCGCCTGTGTTTTTAGGCAGTGGCTTATCCCAGGTGAGAATGCTCCTGGTTCTTGCGTTGAGGAATAGGAGGAAAAGCAACACAAAGAGGAATAGAATCAAGGTAAAAATGAGCTTCTTGCCACTCTTGATCTTTGCCGTGGCTCTTGTGTGGAGTGGTGCATTTTCTAGATCCTCATCCACTGTGGGCATTTTATCTGTTTGCGCAGTGTAATCTGGTAGGAAAAACAAAAGGAAGTCAACCAACTTTTTACAGCTATAATAAGGCAATCCTATTTTAATACTTCCCAACCTGAATTCATTCTAACACCATCTTCTTGGAAGGTTCTAAACTTTACTAGTGCCCGATACAGTCCAATACACTCCTTCTCACCCTTGCCATTGAAGACCAGTTTCTCTTGCCTGGATGCAGAGCTGTGAGTTCGTTTTGGCAGATGACATAGCAATCGCTTTAAACCATCGCCCAACTGAATTGCACAACTGAAGCCTCTTACACAGTATTGTGGTGCTAAACTTTTACACTGGTGATCTTGGGAAAACTAGATGTCTCATTAGTATTAGGATTGTATATATAGTGACAATATAGATACACAAGTCTTCTGAATGTTGGCAGATTTGTTTTAATAAATAATGACAAAGTAAAATTTCTAAGTGCTATTGGTAACGAGGTATTAACTGTTAGAACTTGGTGAGGAATAAGTGTGAAGGTCAGATATCTTAATCTGTAAAACCAGAGTCTTAAGACGATGTACTATTTTGACATCGCTGTATGTGTAGTATGTTAGTATTGGTCGGTAAAACTGTATTATAAAACCACAAAAGAGACGAGAGCTGGATTTTGGGGATCGAGTTGGATTCCAAGCATGCTGCTGTATGCTGTTGCACACATCGGGCTGGTCTTTACCCTAACACGCCTCTCTCCATGCCACCGCGCAATACAGACACTGCGTGCACATTTTAGCTGCTGACCTCGTGGAAATCTAAACTGAAGGACCAAGCCAAGATTTTCTCGGGCTCCTGCCTATTCGCTGCGGTTTCCGGCACCTGGAAGCTGGTCTTGTGATCAGGCCCTGTAGCACTTCTCCCACAGTTCCGGCAGGGGGCGCTCATGCACATGCCAGGACCGGCTCCAAAGCCGATTCGGCTGATCTCGCGAATCACAAAGTGAAAGGCCACGTGCGCCAGAAGGTTTAATTTGTTATGCTGCACACTATTTTCGCAACAAATAGGCAATAGCATGCTGTTGCACTCTGTGGGGTCAGAAATAAAAAACAGGGGAAGCTGGACTTAATTTCACTGTCCGGGTTAGTGATTTTCAAGCTTAAATCTGGCAACCCTGTCTAGACTGCACTGTCTTATTGCTAATTACCTACTTGGAAACTAGTCGAATGAAGTGTACCACGCACGGAACAGTAGGTTCTACTCGTCTTGATTAAATTCAAGAGACGTCAATTGGGTACTTGCAGGTCTTCCACAAGATTGTCAAACCAACAATTCTGAAAACGGCTATTAGCGAGCGCTGTATTTTCGCAAACACTGAAATTAGCCAAACAAAATAGGACTTTGTAGGTACGGGGGCGGCAGGCAGGCAGGCAGGCAGGCACCCGTGATTGGACGGGCGGTTTCCGTGCGACGCCCCGGCCCCCCAAGCGGGCGCGCGCGAGGGAGCTGTGAGAACGGCCGCGAGATCCTTCACGTGCAGCCGCAGCAGGAGCAGCTTCCGCGAGGAGCGGCCTCAGGTCAGAGGTCACGACATCGAGGTGCGGGAGGGGCGAAACAGCAGAAAACGTTTTAAACGTCTATGAAAAGCAAAGAAATACGTAAACGGTTTTTGTCCGATTACGCAGCTAGACTTCAGCCTACATTTCCGGAGGGCTGGCATACAACGACTGATTTCCTACAGTGAGTTGGCTTATTTTCCAGATAAAGAGCAACTCAGCCCTTAAGTTGCTTATGTAAACATATTTCTGCTCAAAGCACCATTGTTGGAGAGAAAACATTTCTCGAACAATTCAGGAATGTATAAGTGTATACAGGCAATTCGCTCGATAAAATGATGATTTAGGAAAAGGGGCAGGAGACCGATTTGTTTCTCATTCTGCACGTCTTTGCCTGGTTCCCAGATGAGGAAGGTTACTGCCAAGAAAGTTTGCGCAGTAATCGGTGTCATCTTTTTACGATTGACCTTTCAGTGCTAAAAGTAAGTATTCTTTATCTCATTTGGATCTACTCATTTTCACCCTTAATTTACTTGGTATAGCAACTGTGCCAGACTGATGATAACCCGATTGCGGTCTTCTAAAAGGAAGTAGAGCCGAGTGTGTTGACACCAGCTGTAATTAACGTTTTGTTTGTCCGCTTATCGCTTATACCCGTTTTACGAAACAACTGGATTAATGAGCTAAGGGCAGGTCCGTGCTGGTGAAGGAACTGTCCTTGCGCAGGCAGATTTGTGCTGCTTCGTGAAATCGCTTAGTGTGATCGCAATACGGAAGCCGTGCATCCATCTTTTAAATTAAAGAAGTTATTCCTCAAATTAAGAACGTGATCCCTCGTGCGTGTAAACTGCATTTCTGGTAAGCAGCTTACACGTGGTGAAGAAGGCCAGCTGGGAATTCATTTCATAGACAGCCATTGGATCATTTAAACGTTATCGCATGTTCTTTAATTAGACTTGCAGATAACAAACCTCTCTAAGCAATCAGTTAGTTGCCATTTCCTCTTGTCTGAAGAGGTTGCGGATTTGTGGTTTTCAAGGAACCGGGCAGCCTGACTGCTGACAGCAGGCGTGTCGGCATTCCCGGAGTGGTGAACGCTTTCAGTAGGCCCTAGAGGTGGAGGGTTTTGCCTGGTTGCATATTAATCAGCATTTACCTGTTGAAAGGTTTTTGCAAATGTTAGGAGGTCACATCCTGTCTGTCTAGCTCGTGGTTTTGCAGCTAATCGATCGTCTTCAGCTGCTTAGTACCAGCCGGGAGGATCTGGGCTGAACAGCTCGTCGGAGCCCCACAACCCTGTGTCCAACGCACCCGTGAGCTTTTCAGTCTTCTTACAGCCCAGAGGAACCGCCTCTGAAAGCATGGTCCCCTCTCGCTCTGTGATTCAAATGTAATTTACGGACCCTCTAGACACCCGGTTTAAAAACATGCTCCTCCACTCTTTTCTTTCCATTTCCACCACCTCCATCGACTCACGAATTGACAAAGAAATGAAATGTTCAGTCCGTGCTGAACTGACCACCGGTGTACTGCAGCCATTAGCGGAGTTTCCGTAAAGATAGACAGCAAACGATAGGTTGAGCTTGTTGTCCGGTTTTTTTTTAATATGAAGCATACCGAGTACATTGTTAAAGCACCACCCATTCTACAGAAGATCGTATCATGATAATTCCAGTTACACGGTTTTCACTCGCAAGTGGATACTAATTCAGTATCCCCTGGAAATCCTCTCAATACCCACCTGTTAAATGATGTACAGATCTTTATGCAACACGCAGGGACAGAGGTGCACACAGCCCTTGTGTGCCTGCTTTTAGGGTTCCCGTGTCGTGTAGTAGACAGTAGAGGAGCTCATTAGCCATATGTACAGTACATAAACGCGCCGTTCTTCCGGGACGTGCAGAGAACAGCGCGCAGCACCACACGATGTAGACAGTACAGAACAGTAAATAACAGTGTTGGAATGTACAGTCAGTAAACACCCAGAACAATAAACACGCGGTCCGAGTCGGGTGCAGCGGTCTGAGACCTTGCGCAGTAAGCTGTCAAGCGTGCGCACTGCCGCAGAGGAGAGGCTGTTGATCCTGGTGGTCGGTGCTTGAGCGGAACCGCTTGCCAGAGCGCGGGGGGCAGCACCGTTCGCGGCCGGGATGGGGGGAACCCCGAATGATGGGCTGGGCTCTGTGGCGGCAGCGGATGGTGTGAATCTCACTCGATGGCTGTTGAGTCACATGTTCTAATCCTGCGGGCCGTGCCACAGCCCTTTGTAGTGCGTCTCTGTGACGATAACCTGAGACTTTCACTCACTAGGTGGATGTGACACTCTTACATTGCTCTAAGCCCCAGCAAACGCGTTAAATACACCGACGAACCGCTATACAGTAGACAGGCACATACAACGGGGCAGTTCTTTTTGTGTTAATATCGTAATTAGCAAAAGCACAAACGCGCAAAGTCCCTGTCGGCACCTTCTAGGGGATATTAAACTGGACCGGGTCTGTAGGGACGCACGAATTCAGCTTCTGGGGCTTTGAGTTCTGACTTTTTGTTCCGGTTAGTTTGCTAGTGCTGTCTGCAAATGGTTTTCCGCTTTACCTGGGACACGTAGCCTACTTCCAAAAATGACTGCGATAAAAGTATAAATATGAACTTAAAAAACATTTGTGGGGGAGAGAAGGTTTTACATTTGAAGAATAATACACTCGCGCTTCTAACAAAACGTTTTTTTTGCTAGAGACAATACGCGGCGACATTAATATGCAGATAGGTTGTAGGAGATGACCAACATATCGGTTCCTTCGTTGGAACAGAACAACGCAAAACCCTTTTTCTAAGAGCTCTGTAACCCTTTGAGTGCGTACCGTGACTGAATTTACCGGAGCTGGAAAGACGTATTAGCCTACCCGGAGGCCACAGTTTTAAATATTTCTCTACCCGAACAGCAGTTGGATGGGTAAAAAAACAGGGATTTCAAGGGAAGTTCGCTTACCTGTGTTCCTGGAGTTGATCTGGTAGCCCATGTTAACCGGAAAAGAGTCGCAAACGGGTGTTTTGCATTCCCTCCAGGCTCCGACACCGCCCTCTTTACTCGCCTCGAAAGTTTAAATGTCACCTGTTGACGTTATCCCTTCATGTCAAAGAGCTGGGGAGAATACAGTTGTTTGAGAAAAGGGAGTTTTCATCTGATTTCTGCAGTCCACAGCGCTGGTCGCTATTGAAGGTCCCCTTGTCTGAATGGAGACGGAAGGGGGCACTGCTCAAATTAAACGTGCCCATAAGCAAAACTTTTCCAGACGTTTACCGTCTTTTTTATTGAAATAGAGAAATGAATCTGCTTTGTCGGTCAGGCCTACAAATTTTGCAAGATCTCATCTGCCGTTTGACGAGCTGTAGACCTGGAAACTCAAACCGGTTGAAAGTAAACCCGTTTGTCAGAACGGGGACAACACGTTTATGTGCAGCTCCACTCATTCTTCTATCAATACGTTTTAATCTTTCAAAAATGAACTGTACCTATGAGAAAAGAAACATTTTTAAAACTCAATATATTGAAGCAAATTCGGTCCGATTGTCAAAAGATAAAAATAAAAGCGACACAGTCCGTGGCGATTCGAAATGAGTCGTTCATCTGAAAAAATTCTAAATCAGATAAAGGAGTAACAAAGTTTGACTTTGTTAAATTTCAAAATCATTCGAAAATCTGAGGTTTTGCTAAATATTATCTGGAAATTTCAGTTGATTCAATCTGTAAGACGAACTTTAAAACGGACCTTTAAAAAAAGTGGATGTTTAGTTTTTCATTATGTACCTTCAAGCTTGAATCCGCCTTTTTGGAAGTTAAATATTTAACTTAATCCTTTCGCTCCATTTTCAGTGCAAGTGCTGCTGTCCCCGTGGGCGTTGTTCCTTCAGTGTTTTATGTCTCCTGAAGATCGATTTCACTGCTCCTGTTACTACTCCTCGCTGTTCCCAGAGTCTCTAAACAAGGTGTGCTACACTAACGCCTAAACTTGCCACACTCACTTGACACGTATGTTATTATTGAATGTGAATAACACTATTTTAAATCCTGGGAGAAGTGCAGACGTGTTTAACTTATTTTTACAAACCGCTCAAAGTTTAGATGATGGATTACGCCAGCATAACTCATGCATGTAAGAGTCTTTTAAGCAGGATGTTTTAGGCTCCTGCGTTACTCTGTTCTATCACTTCCAGCGGACAGAAGGCGGATGAGATTTTGGAACGTAGCTGCGACAAGAAGACCTTCAGAAGGACTGCAGTAACAAAGTCTGGCCACTAGAGGTCTCCAGTCTAACACTTGTTAATGGGGTCAGTGGGCGTTAAGTAATTGGTTAATAAGGAATGCAAGTCCCCAGTTCTCACATGGGGATAACTAGAGGTCTGTTACTGTACGAATAGGGCTGGCTGGTGTTAGCAGTAGTTGTGTTTTAGGAAGCAGTGTCAGGAGAGTCCTCTGCAGTGCAGTAGTATGAAAGGAGGATCATTCTTTTCAGTCTTTGGTTTTTAAAACAAAACTCTGCAATAAAGCCTCTTGCAACTGAAGATAAAGTCCATGTGGATTTTTAGGTCCTCAGAATCCTAGAGTTTTATAAAAGGTGTTTTTTTTCCTTGACAAAGTGTGTTCTCCCTGTGTTTGCATGGGTTTCCTCTAGGTGCTCCAGATTCCTCCCACAGTCCAGAGACATGCTGTACTGGCAGGTTAATTGGCTTCTGGGAATACAATATAGGCTCTGGTGTGAGTAAGTGCGCATCTGTGTTTGTGTCTGTGTGTCTGCCCTGCGATGGCCAGGCACCCTGTCCATGGTGCACCCTGCCTTGCGCCTGTTGCTTGCTGAGATACGCTCTGGGTCTGTTCTGGGGGTCTGGTGAAAAACATTGCTTTCACAATTTTGGAGTAGAATGTAGCTTATCCTTCTGGGTAAATCAACAGATGTCTGGAGGATTACTTCAAGATTTAGAAAATTACATGATGTGCTTAGTCAACCAGTGATCTCTGGATTTATTTTGAGGGTGTGTGCTGACTGTAATCTTGGTAGATGGGTTCTTAACTGGGGAGGTTAGGCTTAACTTTTGTAGCTGTATGTTAAGCTGTATTTGTTTTCTCAACCTTGGTTCCCAGAAAAACGTTTTATTTCAGTCAGCAGGCGATGGGGTGACATTTGGATAAATGTATGTACTTCCCCTCAGTCAGGTGACTTCCAAACATCGTCTTCAGTTTCATCGCTATGTAAACAATGCTCAGATTTATGTTAAAACCTCTTTTCCCTCTGATGTCCCACCTCCATCACCTATGTCTCTTCTGTGTGATATTAAGCTCTGGTTGACCTCGCATTACCTGAATGTCAAATGTCAGCTGGAAAGTTGGTGAGATTCACAGTTGTGGACTTCCCCATTCACACATCAGCCATAGTCAGGAATCTGGGAGTCACACTGATCCCCTCCTGTCTTTGGAGCCCTACATGAAAAAAATTAGATGAACACAACTTCTCAATTTCAATACCAACTTCTGTCATTATTCAATGCTCAGTGTGCGATTCGTGCATTAATAACACCAAGGCTTCATTTCTGCAGCTCTTTGCTCTATGGGCTCCCTAAGTAAGTTGCCATATGTTCAAATCTCTGCAGCTAGACGACTGACGCACACCAGGTCCTGGCAGCATATCACTCCTACGCTTCAGTCTCTACATTGGTTGCCTATACATTCACATATTCAGTGCAGGATCTTGCTACTGACTTTCAAGGCTCTTAATAATCTGGCTCCATCACACATCTCTGAACTCCTCCATGTTTACTCTCCCACCGGTTGGCTCTTCTCTGGGACTAAATCTGAGAGCTTGGGTGACCGTGTCTGCTCTGTCACCGCCCCTTACAGAATGCCCTTCCTCTGACCCTTCGGGAGAAATTCTGTGACTTTTCACCTCTAAGCTCAAAACTCAAGTTTGTCTGATTGCCCTACAGTTTATCCTCTGCTTTCTTGTTTATTTTCTCTGTTACCTTTTATTTATTGTCTTATTCTTTCTTTATCTCTATGTACCTCAGATTTGGAAACTTGCTTTATAAATGAAAGGTGATTATGATGATTTAATATTATTTAAAAAGCTTGTTTTTCTTCCTGCAAGGCTTTTCGGTGGGATTCAGCCTGTAGATTGTGCTCACCGCCGTTTCCTCAGTCTAGAGTAAACTGGTCCAATACTTTTACCAACCACCAGGGGGCGCCGAGGGAGGCTTGGAAAAAGTTGTCGGTAAGTTTTACAGGAAATGGGCTCTTAGGAAGTAGAATGTGACATTTTCAAACACATTTTTCTTAAAAACCTGCTGCTTAAATGTATTATCATTTTATTCGTTCCTGCTTCATGATCCAGCTGCTTCCAGGAAATCAAGCAGGCCAGACACGTCTGGTACAAAGCAGCTCTGCGTTTGCGCCTTGGAATTGAAATGACCAAATCATTTTTACGGTGGGTAGCTGCATCAGCATGCTTAGGCTGCAAAGGAACAAGTAATAGGTTTATTCCATGCCGAAAAAAAGAAGAAAGAGAACACAACGTTTCGGCCGTGGAGCCTTCTTCAGGTGTGAGAGAGACAGGGCAGTAGGCAAAGGTAAAGTAGCGGGAGAACAAAGGTTGGGAGGGAGGAGGAGTGAGAGGCGGGAGCAGGGACAGAAAGAGAGGCCAATCAAGAGGTGTGAAGTCAGAATGGGTGCAGAGAGGTGTGAAATGAATGTCCAATGAATGGAGAAAATTTAAAAGAACAGTAGTCTGTCGTTAAGAGAAGGGAGAATGTGTGATCCTAGCTGCAGAATAATTTTGGTTTCGGTGGTCTTTCTGATGTATGAGTTCGGAAAATCGTCTTTGAGAACACAGACGGAGAGATTTGAGTGGTTGTGGCCGTCAGAGGTGAAATGAGAAACAATGGGCTTGGAGAGATCTTGGTTGATCTGGTTGAAGATCTTCCCTCATACATCAAAGACACCAACCACGCGCTTCAACTTTTTAATGATTTCCAATTTCAGGGTACTGAATGCTACATTTTTACCATGGACATCACATCTCTGTACACCGTCATTCCCATAATGATGGCCTTACAGCCCTCAGGCACACGCTGGACAAACGCACAGTGCTTGATCCACCCACCCACACCCTGGTACACCTTGCAGAATTGGTCCTCACACTGAACACATTCTCTTTCCACAATCTTTTTTACCAACAGGTCAGTGGAGTTGCCATGGGCACCAGAATGGGACCCAGATATGCCAATGTTTTTGTTGGCTGGGTAGAAGAACGCTTCTTCCCTTCCTACACTGGCTATGTCCCTGACCTCTACAAACGATATATATGTATGACTGCGTCGGTGCCGCCACATGCTCCAACGATCAGCTTGAGTTCTTCCTGCACTATTTCACCAACTTCCACCGCCGCTCAAATATACGGTTAACATATCTTCCACTACTCTTCCGTTTCTAGACATCAACTTCTCCATCAACTACCCCCGACTGTCCACTTCAGTTTATTACAAACCCACGGATTCACACAGCTACTTCCTGTACAGCTCGTTTCACCCCAACCACACTAAAAACTCTCTTCTTTTTTCACAGTTCCTTGGGCGACGACAATTATGCAGCGACGACATCGACTTCAAGAACCAAGCCATCGAAATGTACTCCTTTTTCATCAACAGAGGATACCCCAGCAGTGTGCTTGACAGGGCCCT